TGAGTGAGGAACAGGAGAGAGACCAGGTGGTTGATGCTGAGGAGATCTGCATGGTCAAGGTCAGTGATCTACAGAGAAAACAGGGGCGAGCGCACCGTTATGAGCATTTACCTGAGCACAAAGTTCCCAAGCAAAACTGAACTGTTTTCTGTTTAGGAGTGAACAGGTAAGAGACCTTGAGAAAAAAAAAACTATAATTATCATCTGACCTGCAACCTTATGTCAAGTTGTATCTGTATAGTTGACTTTCTGTATTATAAGTTCTACTACTTGCTGAATATTTTTATATATACTGTTATTTTGTCTTGTAATTGTTAATTACATACTCCTTTATTCCATATCATAGCAGTGTTATTCATATATTAAAACTGTCAACTGCACACTCATTTGGCAGAATAAAAGTTTGACAATTATTCATTTGTTCTTTATTGTCACATTTCAGTAACATTTATAATTAAACAAGTTGTAATTAAACAAATTAAATAAATGACTACAACATTTCCCCCTGTTAAGTGCAGTAGACTGAAATGAATAGCTTTATTTGGAAATATAACATATCTAATTTTTAATGGACTTAAATAAAATCTTTCTTCAACATAGACCCCACTAATTAACTGATTAAGTGTTGTTTTTTATAAAAAGAAGAGAGAAAATGCACAAAGGTAGGAAAGGAAAAGAAAGTGATAAAATAATAGGTTTTGTTAAATGTTCTTCAGATAATGAATTAATTGACAAAGTTTTTGCAGGGTGTGACAAAAAACGTTCGAGGTCAAGCTCCTGGGGCTAAGCCCCCCCTATATCTCAATCCTATTGACGTCCATGCCTACAAATAGTTTAAAGCAGACACTACACAGCATCAAGACCTCTTCAGCAGTCATCAGTAAAACTGAACTTGACTCGTTTTTTTTTTCTTTCCATTTTTTCGACACTGCTATTGGGACACTGACTCCGTTCTTTATTTTGGTTGAGCAGTTTTGTTATTACATTAAGTATGTTCATTACACTCACTGTTATGTATTCTGTAGGTTTAGTCATGTTCACATCTCTTAGTCATGTAGTCGTATCCACTACATCTTAACACATATTCAAGTATCAGGCTTTATAATTACTGGTTGAAATGTTAAGGGTTCTCATAATCAATCAAATGTATTATTTAAAAAAATAATTGCTCTGTTGATGGGTTTAATTGGTTGATTTTATCTTATCTGTGTTATTTTGTTGTTCAATGCTGCCTAATGTCACACATGTACTTAGGCTAGCCTTGTATGATCACTCTGTGCTGCGTGTGATCATCCTGTTGGGGCCAGGTCAAGGAGAAATTTTCCTGTTAAGAACAGCAGACAGGTTTTTACAGTGTGTGCATACACTGATGTGTATTGATACATAAGATATAGTCGCAATTCAAGTTGTGTTTCACAGCTAATCCTTACTCCATGTCTGTATACTCATCAAGTATTGTTCTACGGTAACTTAAGCTTGGTTTATGCTTGACGCATTAACTTTCCGCGCAGTGATGCGGCTCGCGGATGGAACGCGCTTCACAACTCGCAGCATTTTATGGTTCGTGCGGCTTCTCTCTGCGGTGAGACAATATTCTCCCAAACTGAACGGGGCAGCATGGAGCTCTACAGCATGCATCCAACACTACACCATAGTAGAAGTAGAAATTACTGTTTACAACATGGCATTTCAGCATTTTTAACAGCGTCCTCATCTTTTCCGACAGTGCGAGCTATTTCTCTTCAAGAATTATTAACAACATGTTGATCACGGTGATCTTTGAGAGCTGAATCATACAAATGTCGGTATTTACGAACCTCTGCCGTACTAGTTCTTGCCGGTCCGCCATGTTTTTCCGCGTCCAACCGTCCGCGTGATTAGAAATTTTCCGAGGTGCGCGTTGCGGAAATTCTGGGCCGTGCGGAGGCGCGGCGGAGGGGCGTGGTTGTTAAAATGACGCAAAATGATGCAACTTTTCCTCGCGGAGCCGTGCGGACCTCGCGGACGCGTCAAGCATAAACCAACCTTTAATCATTATATACTTCATATGCCTGCTAATGTTAGTGTGGCGTTATGTTACATCATTACATATTTAGTTTTGTGTTTTTTGTTATGAGTTAAATGTCACATAGTGCTTCCTTATATTCCTGTAGTTAGTGGATGTCATTTATTCATTTAACATTCATTTAATGGTACATGTTACGCCGGTTGGCCTGTTACCGGCTGTTTTGTCTGTGTCTGGTTTCTGCAGTTTTCGCTACCACTCCTGCTGGTGTGGGTGTGCCCTGCAGAGTGAACTCAAATGAGGAGGTAAGAGTTGGACCAGGCCCCCACAATGCGGCTCAAAAATTGAAGCAATCCCGGAAGTACCAAAAATTGCAGTTCCACCCTCATCCACTAGGGGCTGGTGTCAGAGGAGAGCAAATCCTCATTGACACCCATGTTAAAAATACCAATTTCACAGCAGAAATAAACATGTTTACAGCCTGGTTCCAAAACATGTTTTTGTTTAAATGATCTAGTTTACACTCATGACAACTCTGAGGGGGGTGAATTTTTTTCTCACTCTTCTGTTTAAGTATTAAAAGCCTAAAATTCTGTATAATTAATGAGCCTCAGACCCACGTGACCAGAGCTAGCTCCATGGAAAGGCCTCAGTAGAGCCTCGGTCTGGCCTGGAAACTGTTCCGGGATTTTGAGTCTCTGTGATTGTGTATTCTGTTTTGGATATTTTTTGTGCAATTGTTGGACAAAATGACTTGCTGTGGCATTAATTGCACTAATAGAGCGTCCAAGGAGTCTCCACTTTATTTTTTTTCGGTAAGTAAAATTATATCTATGTATTTTAGGTCACTGCCGAGCTGAGCTTAGATTTTAACATGTACTGTTTAACCATGAAATTTAAATTTAATAGGGTAAACCCCAGTGCATTTAACATAATGCTGCACTTTAGAAAATGGGTTGAAATATAACATGTTGGTGGAGCTGGGTTCCCACTATCGGCTTGTGGAGCTCTCGATAGACCTCTGTTTTCCACCCGTTCTCCCCTTCCCGCAGCTCGGCGTATCCCTGTCTGATTGCGGCTCCTGACTGCTGCGCAGGCTGCCGGCTTGTGGAGCTCTGGGATGGAAACCTTTCCACCTGGTTTTACCCAGCGGTCAGCCCGGCGTATCTCTGACTCAGAAGCTCTGGTGTTGTGCACAGTTAACTCCGGTTGTAGCTAGGTTGCTACCTCCGTTAGCTTAGCTCCCACCTCCGCGTTAGCTTTGGGTTAGCTTCAGGTTAGCTTGTAGCTAGTTTGACCGGGTGTCGTCAGTTGATCCCAGCCTTACAGCCCCACCCTCAGCTCCTCCTCTCTTCCCTTTTGTGGAATTGTCTGGGCTTGACGGAACCTGTGACATGGTCAAAATGGCGGTGGTGGCCACCTCCCATTTTTGTTCAAAAATGTGTTATTGGAGCCTATGGAAACCCATTGTCCAATATTTATATGTCGATGATTTGGACTGGATCGCAGCCACTTTTTTCCTGGCTGCTTGGAGCACCTCACAGACAATCAAACACTTTATTAGCAGGTGTGCGCATGTGTGTGTGTGTGTGTGTGTGTGTGTGTGTGTGTGTGTGTGTGTGTGTGTGTGTGTGTGTGTGTGTGTTTATTTTCTCACAGAAGAAGAACCCAACACCAGCAGACTCAGTGCTCCAATCCAACAGCCTGAAGAGACATCATCATCAGCTTCAACAGATGTCTGTGAACATGTATGAGCTGCTGGCCCCATGGATCCTGCTGACTGGCCACAGCAGTTGAACAAAATGGAAAGTAGAACTTTCTTTATGATGACACTTTGATATTTGAGTTTTGCTTTTGATTGCACAGTTTAATGCTGCTGTTGATTTTGCATCCCCCCCCCCCCCCCCCCCCCCCCCCAATGACATTTGCACGAAATTTTGAGTTGTTGGTCATTGTAATATTCTCGGGTTACTTATCTTTCAAGCTTACATTTATTCTTCAGGCTGTTGACTTTAAAGAGTTGCTGTGTGAATATTTAAAATAAAAAAATTGTAACTAAGGAATCACTGTGGAGTTACTTTTTCCAATGTGTGTTGTGGGTAGGTGGACTTGGGTTTGGGTGAGAGGCGTGCGGGCGGGGGGGGGTGGGGGGGGGGGGGGGGGGGGGGGGGGGGGCAAATGGGCAGTCTCGCCTTGGGCACCAAATTACCTAGAGCTGGCCCTGGAGATTCTCCTGCCACCAAACTCCACAACTTCAATGCACCTAGAAATCCTGTCCATAAATGTTATGAACAGAACCAGTGACAAAGGGCAGCCCTGGCGGAGTCCAACCTTCACTGGGAACAGGTCCGACTTACTGCTGGCTATGCGGACCAAACTCACACTCCTCTGGTACAGGGACTGAATGGCCCTTAGCAAAAGACCATCCACCCCATACTCCTGGAGTGTCCCCCACAGGGCATCTCTGAGGACACGGTCATAAGCCTTCTCCAAATCCACAAAACACATGTGGTCTACTGACCCCTCCATCACCCTAGCAAGGGTAAAGAGTTTGTCCACAGTTGCATGGCCAGGACGAAAACCACATTACTCCTCCTCTATCTGAGGACCCTCCTCTCCAGTACCTTTGAGTAGACCTTTCCCGGGACGCTGAGGAGTGTGGTCCCCCTATAGTTGGAACACGCCCTCTGGTCCCCCTCAAGTGCCTTAAGATGCCTTTTGTCATTATTTGGTGCTATATAAATAAACTTGAATTGAAATGAATTTTAAAAATTAGGACCACCACCCCGGTCTGCTACTCCAAAGGAACTGCCCCAGTGACCACGCAATGTTGCAGAGACGTGGCAACCAAAACAGTCCTACAACATCCAAAGTCTTTATTTATTAATTTTAATATTGTTGTTGTTGTTATTATTAATAATAAAGATAATAATAATAATAATAATAATAATAATAATAATAATAATAATAATAATAATAATAATAATAATAATAATAATACAAAATCAACTCCTTTGACAGTTCATTGTGGTATTTTAGTTTGTTATTGCAATTTGAAATGATTTCTTGTTTGTTTTTACATCTTACTTACTCTGTTTACTGTCCTTTTGCTCCTGTATTGGATATAATTGCTGCTGTGAAACAAAAATTTCCCCACTGAGAGACAATAAAGGGCTGTTCTATTCTATTCTTAAAGCACAATATTAACATGAAGAACCATGTGACCCTTCTCCTTCCATGTGACGGGGATGGGCTTCCACATGTTCATAAACTCCAACATCTACAAACATCATTTCTACATGTAGATGATTTTGTTATGTAGTCATTTTGAGCCATGAGGATTGCTCGGAGGAGGGAGAACATCTAGCACCAACCTTTGGTCAGTGGTGTAACAACAGCATGACTTTAGAGGCTGTGAGGACTTTTCACTCAATCTGTGTCCTTATCAGCTGAGGAGCACCCAGGAGGTGCGGCCTCCCCTTGGCTCTCCTGCTGCTCCGCTCTGTGAGGCTGAAACAGGAGGACAGAGCGGGGATGGCAGACCCGGCAGAGTGCACCATCAAGGTGATGTGTCGCTTTAGACCGCTCAACAGCTCCGAGGTGGCCCGAGGAGACAAGTACATCCCTAAGTTTGTGGGGGAGGACTGCGTGCAGATGGCAGTAAGTACATGTGTGTATGTGTGTGTGTGTGTGTGTGCATGGTGCTTGTGTGTGTGCGTGTGTGTGTGTGTGTGTGCCTGTCTGAGCGTGCATGTCTGTATGTACATGCATGTGTGTGTGCGCGCGCGCGTGCGTGTGCATGTGCATGCATGTGTGTGTGTGTGTGTGTGTGTGTGTGCATGCATGTGTGTATGTGTGTGTGTGAGTGCATGTAGCATGTATATGCATTTGTGTGTGTGCGTGCGCGTATGCGTTTATGTGTGTGGGTGTGTGTGTGTGTGTGTGCGCGCTCGTTTGTGTGTGTGTGTGTGTGTGTGTGCGTGTGTGTGTGCGTGCGCGTATGCGTTTATGTGTGCGCGTGTGTGTGTGTATGTGTGTATGAGTTTATGTGTGCGTGTGTGTGTGCGTGCGCATATGGGTTTATGTGTCTGCGTGTGTGTGTATGTGTGTGTGTGTGTGTGTGTATGAGTTTATGTGTGCGTGTGTGTGCGTGCGTGCGTGCGTGCGTGTGTGTGGCATTGGTTTTAAGCACTGATGCTCGAAGGCTCAGCAGTAAAACCCTGTTGGGCTGATGTTGTGTGAACCTTAGAAACATCTTGGCTAAAGACAACAAATGTTATCCGTTTGCTCAAAGCCACTAATATATACACTCCCATCCTTTTATCTTTAACAGTGCCAGTAAAAACATTTTAATTGTAATACTGATTTTTTTCGTCCTCTATCAACTGGTATACTAGTGCATCGTTACTGAAGAGGTCAGGGGTAGATGGCATGATGAGCTGTTTGAGGGACCCTAAATAACCCTCATGTCTCCTCTTCCTCCAGCTTTGCTGTTCTTCATCACATGTTTACATCTGCTGGAAGACAGGCTCAAGCAGCTGTGATTTAATGATTTATTTATCCTCATCTGCAAGCTAACATGCAGACTTACTCGGAATTATTCACCTCTGGTTATTTGTGCTCTGGTTCAGAATCACAGTCCTGCAGTTTGTGAACAATGAGTCTCATGGATCATTTTATTCATGTGGTTAGAAAACTGAACCCTGTTTAATCGTCTCTGATCACATGCTTGTCACAGTTTGGTGATGCACCATTAGAGCTGTGTGTGTGTGTGTGTGTGCGTGCGTGCGTGCGTGCGTGTGTGTGTGTGTGTGTGTGTGTGTGTGTGTGTGTGTGTGTGTGTGTGTGTGTGTGTGTGTGTGTGTGTGTGTGTGTGTGTGTGTGTGTGTGCCTGCTCTGTCTTCTCGATCCCCAGTGAGTCATGGTGGATGGCTGCTTATACTGAGCCAGGATCCTCTGGAGGTTTCTTCCTGTTAAAAGGCAGTTTTCCTCTCCACTGTCGCTAAATGCTTGCATAGTACTAGGATTGCTGTAAAGACTCTGACACTAGTCAGTGACTCGATGCAACCTGCTGGGTTCCTTATATAGGAAACTTTTTACTGATTGGCTTAATGAACTGACCTGTATACTGTGTGAAGGTCTTTGAGATGATGCTTGTCATGATTTTGCTCTTTATACATAAACTTGAATTGAATTAAGTTCTTCATGACAAAGTGAAAGGTGTCCCCTCTCCAGGGTAAGCCTTACTATTTTGACCGAGTGTTCCAGTCCAACACAACTCAGGTGCAGTTCTACAATGCTGTAGCTCTGAAGATTGTCAAAGGTAAGTCTACAGTCAGCCAAAGAGGACTAACTCCAGATTGCCTTCCGAGTCCTCCTTTTGATTGTTTTCTAACAGATGTTCTGGAGGGCTACAATGGGACAATATTTGCTTATGGGCAGACCTCATCTGGTAAAACGCACACAATGGAGGTAATGTAGATGATAAGATCCAACATGTCTACAACGCCACGATTCTTCCCTAACTGATGTATAATGATATACCTGCTGTTTACACCAATCTAAGGGGAAGCTCCATGACTCTGAGATGATGGGAATCATTCCTAGAATTGTCCAAGACATCTTCAACTACATTTATTCAATGGATGAGAACTTGGAGTTCCACATCAAAGTATGCTATCTTCTAGTCAAGCAATCTCCTCCTCGTGGAGGGAAAGAGTCGCTGAAGGCTCAATCTCCATTTTTGCTTTGCAGGTTTCATATTTTGAAATCTATCTGGACAAAATCAGAGACTTGTTGGATGGTACGTGCTGCAGCTCCTGGTAGTTTGCTTTGATCTTTTCAGATGCTGACTGTAATAAGATCATGCATGAAGTTCACTTTTACTCCCTGTCTAGTATCAAAGATGAATCTTTCTGTACACGAGGACAAGAACAGAGTGCCTTATGTCAAGGTGAGGAGACTCCTACTCGTTGTTGGCTCAGGGATGACTAAAGAGGAGGAGCGGTTCTATAGCAGCTCACAAATCCTGTGTGACAGTGGGTTGGATTTTGTCCTGAGCTGTTTGTTATGTGATCAGTTGACTAAAGTTAAAAATACTTAGATGAAGTCATAGGGTCACTTTTTCTTCTCAAATCTCCCCTTAGGCTCACCGTGCCACCTTCCCCTATGTTAATAAGTGTGTTCTTATTAAGCCTCTGCTCTGGGTTTAGTCAACAAAGCATTTCGTTGTGATGTGCATTCATCCCCAGGGGTGTACTGAGCGCTTTGTGTGCAGTCCTGAGGAAGTAATGGACGCCATCGATGAAGGCAAAAGCAACAGACACGTGGCTGTCACAAGTGAGTTGGTACACGAAATGCCTTCAGCCTCTCATGGGTTCGATCTCCCCTGGTCCTCTGACTGCCACCACTCTCCCATCTACTCCAGTGCCAGTCCTTCAGTTTGCAGATGTGACCTCCTGCTTTTGTGATCTTATACAAAACAGACCACATATTTACACAAATGTGTCATTTCTTGTTTCATTGAGTGTCTCAGAGTCATTGTCACACTTGGTAAAAAGGGCTGACTCTGCAAGAAGGCATTCTTTCTACGTATGGATTCATATTAACCAACTAAACTCAGAAATGTTTACAGGAGTTGGTTAATGTGAGCATTTCTGAGTTTAGTTGGTTAATATGAATCCATTTGTAGAAATAAAGCCTTATTTTTACAGAGTGACATAATCTGCTATGAAAACAATCATTAGAAATTTAAATGTTCACAACTCTAGGTTTGTGTGTGCATGTTTGTGCATGTGTGTGTGTGTGTGTGTGTGTGTGTGTGTGTGTGTGTGTGTGTGTGTGTGTGTGTGTGTGTGTGTGTGTGTGTGTGTGTGTGTGTGCACGTTTCAGATATGAATGAGCACAGCTCCAGGAGTCACAGCATCTTCCTAATCAACATCAAGCAGGAGAACACTCAGACTGAGCAGAAACTAACAGGAAAGCTGTACCTGGTGGATCTAGCCGGGAGTGAAAAAGTAAGACTTGGTACCTCCAGCCGTTTTGCCTTTAGTTTAGAATATTTGAAGTTAGGAATATAACATTTGGGGAGTGACATTCAGAGATGTGTTCTGACTTTAAAGTATCTTTACGGAGTTTTCCCCATCCAGAAATCATGTATGATTTGACAGAAATCATAGTGATATGATATGTACTGTGATATAATGTAAGCACTATGTCTTTTGTTGTTTTTTTATTGCTAAGCACGCCCCCGCCCCGCAGAGCCCCGTGCAATAGGAAACTAACCGACCAGAACTAACCAATAACGTTAGAATACCGCTTACTTGCTTCAAATTTAAGGAATACCTCGGCTGCTGCAGAGTTGATGAACTTTTCACGGACAATATAAATATATGAGAACACAGCATGACATGAGAATAATACTCGTAAAACAATGTGTTCTAGGTCTCTTTGTTGGCTGCAGAAAGACATTAAAAAAACAAGAAATGTAAAGCCGCCATCTGAAAAAAACAGAAAGAGAAATTATTTGTGTGATATGCTTGTCAGCCACTCGGTGGTGACATCGGATGAGAGAAATACTCCGGAAAGAGACTGACATGGCCCGTGGTGAGCTGCTTGCCAGTATCTTGTTTGTCCTCTGAGTCTTGTCTGCAGGTGGGCGTGTCTGAGAGCAACCAGGTACAGCTGATCTTGTCATTAGGGCCCAGGGAATTTAAGGAGCAGTGTGACACAACACCATGCCAGATGATTACTCTGCTTGGGTTTCCCACTCCATGTTCCCTCGTCTCCATAACCAGCCCGGACTCCTGCACTCCAGATCACACTGCCGTTCCCCTGGCCGCCCGCTCTCAGCCGCTCACCTGCCCTCACCAGCATCCGCACCAACCTCACCTCTGGACAGTTTGTTGCTCTCTGGACCTCGTCAGCTCTCCCGGACCTGACCAAGCTCCCTCCGTGCATCCTACCATTACCGGAAAACCGTGAGCTTTCCACTAAGTCAATATCTCCATAAAATCCCTCTGGAAACTCACTCTGTCTCCCTCTTCAGAACCCCACCCTGGAATCCTGCTACCAGTACGCAGCATCTTCAGTTCCCGTTGCTCTTCTTTAGCTCCTCATTTAAAATAAATATTTTTACACTTACCTGTTTCCCGTGTGTGATTCTGCATGTCGTGGGTCAAGAAACTGCCTCCCAACATGACAGAATCATCTGGTCATTATATTGACTCCAATGCAGAATCCAGTCCGCCCGTTGCTATCCCGCCTGTCATATCCGATGCTTTAGCCCATCACGAACATGCCATCCAAAAACTATTAGAACAGTTATCTGATTCCAACCAACGCTTACTCCAGATGGACGCCATGTTGTGCAACCTCACTGTAAAAGTAACACCCCGGAACCTTCAGTCCAGCAGTCTCCAGTTTCCCTTCCGCCCGCACTTCCGGTTCCGTCTCCCGCTGTTAACTTCCGGGTTGCTAACTCTCCTCCGTCTGACACCTTCTCCGGTGAATTTGGCAAAAGCCGTTGGTTTTTACTTAATTGTAAATCAGCATTTGAAAGATCGCCCGAATCATTTTCTCTAGATTCTGTAAAAATCTCATACATTATTAGTCTGCTCAGAGGCAAGGCCTTGGATTGGGCTGAAGCTAGGAGCCATGATGCCAGCTTTCTGCGAGGTCCCCTCTCTCGTCTCCTAGCCGAATTTAATCAAACTTTCGACAGTTCCAAGTCTCCAGCCGAGATAGCCAAATGGTTGTGGAACCTCCGCCAAGGCAAGCAAACTGTGGCAGAGTTTGCCATTGAGTTCCGCACGCTGGCTGCCATCTCAACTCACGATCATAATTCTCTTCAAGGAGGTTTCACCCAAGCTTTGACCGATCGCCTCAAGGATCAGTTGGCGTTATGCCAGGAGTCCGACGATCTGGAGGAACTCATATCTTTGGCAATAAAAAGAGAAAAGAGACTCAAGGAATGTTCCAGGGGTTCTCACATGCCCAACACTCTGCTAAACCATACCAGGACATCACAGTTACCTGCCACACCACCCTCTGGGGATGAACCCATGCAGATCAGTAGAACCCGGTTAACCCAGGAGGAATGACAACGCCGGTTCGCTGCAAATCTCTGCCTCTATTGTGGTCAGCCCGGTCACAGAATCACCAACTGCGAACTTCGTTTAAAAGGGCAAGCCCACCAGTAGTTCCGGGATTACTGGTGGGTGGTAACGGTGATTCCAACTCCCGATGTTCTCTTCCTTGCTCTGTTATTTTTGACCATAAACATGTGTTTTGAAGGCCCTGTTGGATTCTGGTTGGGAGCGTAACATGCTGGATCAGTCAGTCGTTCGGAGACTGGACATCCCCACTATTCCTCTCCCAACCACGTTGAGAGTGTCATCTTTGGATGGGAACACCCTCACCGCAATAACCCACCAGATTGTGCCAGTAAACCTGCTAGTACAACCAGGTACAGCTGATTTTGTCATCAAGGCCCAAGGAATTTAAGGAGCAGTGTGACACAACACCATGCCGGATGATTACTCTGTTTGGGTTTCCCGCTCCATGTTCCCTCGTCTCCATAACCAGCCCGGACTCCTGCACTCCAGATCACTCTGCCGTTCCCCTGGCCGCCCGCTCTCAGCCGCTCACCTGCCCTCACCAGCATTTGCACCAACCTCACCTCTGGACAAAGTTTGTTGCTCTCTGGACCTCGCCAGCTCTCCCGGACCTGACCAAGCTCCCTCCGTGCATCCTACCATTACCGGAAAACCGTGAGCTTTCCACTAAGTCAATACCTCCATAAAATCCTGTGGAAACTCACTCTGTCTCCCTCCTCAGAACCCCACCCTGGAATCCTGCTACCAGTACGCAGCATCTTCAGTTCCCGTTGCTCTTCTTTAGCTCTTCATTTAAAAAAAATATTTTTACACTTACCTGTTTCCCGTGTGTGATTCTGCATGTCGTGGGTCAAGAAACTGCCTCCCAACATGACAGAGACTTTAACTAGGACTTTCTGTAATTCAACTATATTTCCATATATTTCTGAATAGTACTAAAGTTTTTAAAACTGTTTAGTTTAACAAAGACACTCCTATGCCTGCTGATTCTTGCTCCAGCGGTGGCCAAAACTTAAGAGGACAGAAATATTTGTAGTCACAAGGTTTGCTTCCTCAGGTTTTCAGATGGCAGTTTGCTTAACCGTAAAGAGACAATGAGTATTTTTTACAGTTCATCTCTGGAAATATCCATCAAAATGTTGTTGAATATGAATTACATGATGCAAAGGTGTTGAAAAATATTGCTGGCTTTGTAACATATAACCATAAATTACATGGGAGTGGGTCTAAGGCCCAATCCCAATACTCGCCATGCGTTCTTCAGCAAAGTGCACTAAGAGAGACTGCGCTGTATGGCTTTGAGTGCGTAGAACGCAAGTACCTAATTGATCTCGGGAGCATTGCATCATTGACTATAATGCATGCTGGGATGTTGGTCACTGAGATCCTTTTTTTAAAAACCTTTTTTAACAACTTTCAAACTAACAACCAACCAGTTATTTGACATAAATTTACATTCATTGCTGCTTTGTCTAAAAGTTTCAGAGCATCAACTAATCGTCCTGGAATGAACAACTTTCATTAAAAAATTAATGTTTCCTTCCCTTGAGGGCAAGATGTGTTTACTGATTTGTAATAAACGGTTACAAACTTTTGCCGTGCATAAAGATGTTTTTGTTTTACACATTTACTCCTTCGCTTGCTGCATTAATGAAAGGGAGTCTGATGTGCTTATCATTTGGCTGGAGCTTGTGCTCACAGGGATTTTTGACCCTAATGGCCATCCGTTGTTAAGGTCTTACTCAAACACAAAAATACCTCTTGCTTGCAATGATTTAGGTATGTACTGCCCCCTATCACCTGTGGAAATACTCATCATCACCTTAAACAATTTGATGTATAATAATTCCAAAGTTCCTCTGCTGTAAAGGGGAAGACAATTACCACCAAAACATGTCCTCTTAATTTGTAAAGAAGACTTTAGACACCCAGGAAAGTTCATCCACACCAGGATGTATCCTAAAGTCAATCACGCTGCAGGATTGAGGCACCATAGAAGTGGAACTTGCTCAGGTGTGCCAGAAAGTAGGTGTGAGTTTATCTGCACAGAGAAGGATGAGGTTAAGGGTGGTTTGGAGTTAAGAAGGACAGGAAAAATGCAGATTTTCCCCAAGACAATCCTCAGGCTGGTATTTTTTCACCCAACCAAGCTGGAATTGTGTTCTGCTGAAGAACCAAGGAGTGGACTATTGGGGGTTAGTAGAGGGCTTATATTATCAACCTCCTGTTGTCATTGTTTGGAGATTCTGGAACAACAATCATCTGGAGAAAAACAGGTGAGTGCAGGGTAGGAGTGGTTTTAGCCTCAAAAAAGCCATGAACAAAAAATGGTACCTAAACATCCTCCCAGAGGAACACCTCCAACCAGAAGGCTAAAGTCAGAGCTAAGTGGATCAGGAACAGAACATTAACACATTAGTTCCAGGTCCAGGAACCTCCTCTGACCTTAGTCCCACTGAGAACTTGTGGTCCGTCCTCCACAGACAGGAGGTCAAACACAAACCCAACGTTGATGATGAAGAATGAGCTCCATCAGTGTTGCCATGTTGGGGTTACCATGGCAACATTGAAAACACTGATTATTTTCATAAACTTAACATAATTATCAAAACAAGAATGTAAAATGATGAAGAGATTCTACTTCAGGAACCACCGGAACCTCACACGGGCTGCATGGTGGCGCAGTGGTTAGCACTGTTGCCTCGCAGCACAAAGGTTGCAGGTTCGAAACTCAGCTGCGGCCTTTCTGCGTGGAGTTGTGTGTTCTCCCCATGCATGCGTGGGTTTCCTCCGGGTACTCCGGTTTCCCCCACAGATCACAACATGCCCTATAGGTTATAAATTGTAAGTCGCTTTGGATAAAAGCGTCTGCTAATGAATAAACATAACCATAAACACACGAAAAGAGCTGAAAACACTGAAGTAACAGACTTTCTGACCTCCTCTGACCTTAGTCCCACTGAGAACTTGTGGTCCGTCCTCCACAGACAGGAGGTCAAACACAAACCCAACGTTGATGATGAAGAATGAGCTCCATCAGTGTTGCCATGTTGGGGTTACCATGGCAACATTGAAAACACTGATTATTTTCATAAACTTAACATAATTATCAAAACAAGAATGTAAAATGATGAAGAGATTCTACTTCAGGAACCACCGGAACCTCACACGGGCTGCATGGTGGCGCAGTGGTTAGCACTGTTGCCTCGCAGCACAAAGGTTGCAGGTTCGAAACTCAGCTGCGGCCTTTCTGCGTGGAGTTGTGTGTTCTCCCCATGCATGCGTGGGTTTCCTCCGGGTACTCCGGTTTCCCCCACAGATCACAACATGCCCTATAGGTTATAAATTGTAAGTCGCTTTGGATAAAAGCGTCTGCTAAATGAATAAACATAACCATAAACACACGAAAAGAGCTGAAAACACTGAAGCAACAGACTTTCTGAGAAAGCTTCTGCATGGGCAGTGATTCCACTGATTTTATTTTCTACATCTTTTTAGGTAACACTTTAGTTTAGGGAACACAAAGTAACCATTAATTAGCTGTGAGTTAATATGCTTATTAGTGGACTACTAAGTCTGAACTAGTCATTATGAAGCACTTATTAACAGCTTATTACTAATGCCCTAATTCTAATATTAACAGACCATAAATTAAGAGTTTTATCAAAATAAGCCATTCATAATGGTTTGTTAACTGAAAGTAAATGGTTTGTTGCTGATTAACGCACATGCTAATCAGCTCAAATCAATATGTGGCTTTTAACGAAGTAATTCAAGGGGAACATACTCTTGCCTTTAAGTGGTTAATTAATACTAAACTACAGTAATTAGGTATGAACAAAATCTGACATTAGAATGGGGAACATATTCTTGCTTACAAGTGGTTAATTGATTGCCGTTTAGGTTCTATTAACATGCACAGTTTGATGTTTTTTTTTACATAATACCAGAACATAATATTTTTGGTTATTAATGCAGAATAACTATTTCCTTTCAATTACTTCGTTAAAAGCCACATATTGATTTGAGCTAATGGGTATGTGCGTTAATCAGCAACAAACCATTATGAATGGCTTATTTTGATAAAACTCTTAATTCATGCCCTGTTAATATTAGAATTACAGCATTGGTAATAAGCACCTAATATTAGTTTAATAATGACTAATTCAGAATTAGTAGTCCACTAATATGCATATTAATTGGCAGCTAATTAATTGTTAATTTGTGTTCCCTAAATCAACGTGTTACCTCTTTTTCTTATGAGACTTCTTGTCTGTGATTTCCAGGTGGGTAAAACTGGAGCGGAGGGCACTGTTCTGGATGAAGCTAAAATGATCAACAAGTCATTGTCGTCACTGGGAAACGTCATCTCAGCTCTGGCAGAAGGCTCGGTGAGACAACCCTTCACACTTCACTAACCAAAGCGATGCCGCTGCATTTCAAATAACTGTACTAACTACACTTGAGTACAAGAAACCCAAACAAGCACAAACGAGTTGCTAGCTCTCGGCGCTGACAGTGAACAAATGAAGCTCATACAGTAAAAGTTAAGTACAGGGATGGTTGCTTCCTGTCAGACCTACGTCCCATACAGGGATAGTAAGATGACCAGAATCCTGCAAGATTCCCTGGGAGGAAACTGTCGAACCACCATGGTCATCTGCTGCTCTCCTTCCTCCTTCAATGATGCAGAGACCAGATCTACACTACTCTTTGGACAGAGGTACATCAACACGCATGCACACACGCTAATTGCCCCCCCCCCCCCCCCCCCCCCCTCCCGCTTGCGTTTAATAAATGCAAAAAGATCTATGGAGCTGGTTTAGGTAGATCCACAGAGGTGTGAGGTGTCTCGCAGAACTCATCTCGTCCTCTCTGACTAAAACAGGGCAAAGACCATCAAGAACAATGTGAGTCTGAACGTGGAGCTGACTGCAGAGCAGTGGAAGAGCAAGTGGGAGAAGGAGAAGGAAAAAAACAAGACGCTGAGAAGCACTGTCACCTGGCTGGAGAACGAAATCAACAGGTGGAGGAATGGTGAGAGTGGCAAACACACACACACACACACACACACACACACACACACACACACTCGCCATCAGCAGAACAAATCTAAACAACTCATTCACAAAAATTTACAACCAGGACAGAGCATTTTGCTCATTTACACTAGGCAGTCCAACTCTGGCTTCACTTCCTGCTCAGCTGCTCTGAACCAAGAACACCTGATTCATTCACACAGACGGGTGTGTGAAGAGGAGGAGAGACAGTCAGAGAAGCATGATGGATAAGTTATGCTGGACAGGTTGTGACAGATGGGTTATGGTGGATTGTAGAGCTGAGGAAAATGATCATCGAGATGCGGACATTAACGATTCAGAATCGTAGAAGAAGCACGCCGTAAAAGATTATACTGTAATGCAATTTTGTTTTTAACGGCAGAGTGGGACGTGTCCTCCACATTTACCGAGTAGGAAATATTGGTCTGCCTTTATGTGGCATTGCACGGCTGAGCACTGGAGCTCTAACCTGAAGAGCAGGCAAACACTAGTAACAGCCACGCTCTGATATTCATTCGCCATACTTTCACCACGTCATGAGAGAGACAGAGTGTGTGTGTGTGTGTGTGTGTGTGTGTGTGTGAGAGAGAGAGAGAGAGAGAGAGAGAGAGAGAGAGAGAGAGAGACAGGGAGGGAGAGAGAGAGAGACAGAGAGAGAGGCAGAAAAACACAGAGAGACTTGACTTTTAAATTATTTATTTTTATTTACAAATCAACAGTCAGCATTAATGACTGAAACTTGTTTTCCACTAATACAACCAGGAAAACTGATAAACCCACAGTTTAGAAGTTGATCTTTAGGGAGCCCTGTCCACTCAGCAGACAGAGCACCTCCCCCACACCGCTCTAAAGAGGTCCAGGTTCCCAGTAAGTTTATAAAAAGCGTGTTCGATCTTTAAGCGAGCTTCCACCAGGCCATTCAGGCTCCGCTCAGCATCAGTCCAGCTCTGTCCCAGCATCTGGATTTTCCAGATGGCTAGTTTTGCACATGCAAATAAAATTAACAATATTGTCTGTTTTTTTCTGACACTGTACTTGTGCCCCAAAACAAATAAGGATAGGGTAAAAGCCTCCCCCAGTGCACTAACCCACATCCCTGATAACCTAGAACATGCTACCACTAGATGCTCTATGGTCTCTGTTTAGTTACAGAAAGGACATCCCTCCCCGGTGATGTCGGCCATTGTTTCTGTCCCTGCTGCGCCCTCACTCTTTCCCTGCGAGCCACTGTGTCACTCACCGTGACACCGGGCCTGATCCCCGCCAGAAGAGAGGGGCCCGCGGGTTCTGCCTCGGTCTCCGCTCCCGGTCCTGCCACATTTTGTTGGTGGGGACAATACGCTTGTGACCCACATCTCCACACTCAAAACATTTCATCACACCAGAACTTACACCATGTAATACCCTTCCTCATGCTTCACTCTGAATGACACGTCCAGCATTTGTGATGGAGAGTCTAAGTACATGAACACCTGCCTCCGCAAGGACTGGACATGTCTCAGTTTATCGTCTTTACACCCCAGGCTCACCGTACGGAATCCATTCACCATTCTCCCAAAACGCCTGAGCTGCCGCTCCAGTGCAGATTCAGGAACAAAGGGAGGAACTCCTGACACGGTGATGCGGGTAGACGGTAGCGCTAATGGAGAAAACTGTAAAAATTCACCATTTACATAAATCCCGTTCTGCACAAGCTGACCCACCTGCTCCTGACTTTTGAGAAACAGCACGACCCTTTGTTCATGCACGAGGCAAACAAAATGTTTCCATGTCCCACCTGGTGTCCAACCGCTAACAGCACCTGTTCCCCCGGAGTGGAGGGCGGAGGCTCGGCTCTTGCCCCGTGTCTCAAAGACAGGGATGGCGTTGCCTGAGACGCCATCCCGGCACGGAAGCACCACAGCAAAACCACACACAACCTCCAAACACCAAGGAAAGGAAGAAAAGTTGAAAAAAGTTATCTCAAAGAACTTTTCCACCTCCAGAAAACAAACTTTATCCACCACTCTCACAGCCACTCTCACGGCCCTCACCACCACACGCGGCCGCTCTCAGCTTGAGAAAGGGTGAGAGAGAGCGAGAGAGAGAGACGACAGACAGAGAAAGAGAGAGAGAGAGAGAGAGAGAGAGAGAGAGAGAGAAAAAGAAAGACAAAAAGAAAGAGAGAGATACAGAGAGAGAGAGAGAGAGAGAGACAGACAGACAGAGAGCGACAGACAGAGACAGAGAGAGAGAGAGAGAGAGAGAGAGAGACAGAGAGAGAGACAGACAGAGACACACACAGAGAGACACACACACAGAGAGAGAGAGAGAGAGAGAGAGAGAGAGACAAAGACAAAGAGAAAGACAAAAAGAAAGAGAGATACAGAGAGAGAGACAGAGAGCGAGAGAGAGAGAGAGACAGAGACAGACAGACAGACAGACAGACAGACAGACAGACAGACAGACAGAGAGAGAGAGAGAGAGAGAGAGAGAGAGAGAGAGAGAGAGAGAGAGAGACTTTGACTTTTAAATGATTTATTTTTCTTTTCTTTACAGATCAACAATCAGCGTTAATGACTGAAACTTGTTTTCCACTAATAAAACCAGGGCAACTGATAAACCAGTTTAGAAGTTGATCTTTAGGGAGCCCTGTCCATCCAGCAGACAGAGCACCTGCCCGATCCCCCACACTGCTCTAAAGGAGTCCAGGTTCCCAGTAAGTTCATAAAAAGCGTGTTCGATCTTTAAGCGAGCTTCCACCAGGCCCTTCAGACTCCTCTCAGCATCAGTCCAGCTCTGTCCCAGCATCTGGTTTTTTCTGGTTTTCCAGATGGCTAGTTTGCACATGCAAATAAAAAGTTAATTAACAATATTGTCCGTTTTTTTCTGACACTGTACTTGGGCCCGAAAACAAATAAGTGTAGGGTAAAAGTCTCCCCCAGACCACTGACCCACCGTTCTAAAACCTTAAACATCCCTGATAACCTAGAACATGCTACCACTAGGTGCTCTAGGGTCTCTGTTTGGTTACAAAAAGGACATCCCTCCCCGGTGCTTGGATCAAAGCGGGCTCTGTGTCTGTTCGTAGCTAAAGCTCCATGTATGATCCTCCACTGGAGGTCTGCCATCCTTTTTTCCACTGGAGACTTATACAAACTCCTCCAGCTCCCCCCAGGGGCATCGTCTGCAGCAAACACCTGAGTCCACCTCGACTCCTAATAAGGAGCGCCTATTGATAACCGTCACACAAGTTTGATAGAGCTGTTTCTTCCCACAAGACTGGAAGGAGCCCAACACTGGAGTGTTCGGGTTCAGCAGTAATCCACTCTCCTCCTGCCATCCCTCACCAGCTGCTTTAACCTCCAGAGACAGAAAAACATACTCACTGTCATCATCCCATTGGTCATATAGAGTACAAGTCTCAATGAAGGCTCTCTGCGACACAGACAAGGACCTCCGTACCTCCTCCACCACTCTCTCCATCACTCTGGTGGACCTCACATCCAACCGCTCACCAAGGGTTCCAGCCGGGATCTTCAGTAAGTGACCAAACTTTACAATCCCAGCACTGGTGAACTTCACTTGCAATGCAGATGAACTTAAAATGCCAGCTTGAGAGAAGAAGTCATTGTCAAACAAGGGTTCTTGTAGCAACCATGTCCCTGGTCCCGTGTCAGACGTTCTGGATACTGTCAGCAGCTTAAAAGAGTCCAGCACTGACGCGTAGAACGGACTAATCCTTGTCAGATCCAACACCTTCCGATTCAACAGGAACAGGTGTTTGTTTAGCCCAAGCCCACCAACCTTCTGCAGCAGGAGATGAGCCAGGGGCAGCCAGCGGTGTCCGTCACCATAAAAAAGCTTGTGAGCTGTCTGTAACCTGAAGGCTGCAGTTCTAGACACCACGTCTATTAGTCCTTGTCCTCCCTCTGAGACGGGTAGGCAAAGAGCCGAGGCTCTGATCCAGTGGTGACCGGACCAGAAGAATTTCACCAACAGCTTCTGAACACCTTCCAGCAGACCCGGTGGTGGAACCAGTACAATTAGTCTGTGCCACAGAAACGAGGCAACCAGGTTGTTTGCTATCAGAATGCTGCCCCTGTAGGACAGCTGAGGGAGAAGCCATTTCCATTTAGACAACCTCGCCTCCACCTTCTCCAGCACCTTCTCCCAGTTCTGTTTCTGAAAACTTTCAGTACCCAAGTACAGGCCTAGTGTTTTAATACCTCCCGTTCCCCACCTCAGCCCTTCTGGCAGAGGCGGGACATTACTAAGGTCCCACCCCCCCCCCCACTACACATGCCTCACTCTTGTCCCAGTTAACCTTAGCTGAGGATGCATTCTTAAAAAGATTAAAGTCCCATTTAGTCGTCACACACACACACAGGTGTGTGGTGAAATTTATTCTCCGCATTTGACCCATCTCCTGGGGGAGCGGTGAGCTGCAGACAAGCCGCGCTCGGGAACTATTTGGTGGTTTAACCCCCCCAATCCAACCCCTTAATGCTGAGTGTCAAGCAGGGAGGCATTAGGTCCCATTTTTTCAAAGTCTTTGGTATGACCCGACCAGGAGTCGAACCCCTGATCTCCTGATCTCAGGGCGGACACTCTACCACTAGGCCACTGAGTTGGTTCTCATTTAAAAGTAAACTAGATCTGAGTTCTTGTACATCATGCTGATCATGGATAAAAACATTCACATCATCTGCATACGCAGACACAACTAAGGGAGGACTAGAGACAGGTAAAGGTAGGTGTAGACCTTTCAGCCTGTTCCTCAGCCGACACAGCAGCGGTTCAATAGCTAAAATATACAGTTGTCGTGAGATGGGACAACCCTGTCTGATTCCTCTTAGAACAGGTATGGGTTGGGTCAGGCCCCCCGCTACCTTCACCATACAGCTGACATTCCTATACAGCATCTTAATCCCTTCCAGAAAGGACCCCCCAAAACCAAAAGCCTGTAGCGTAGAGAACAGGAACTCATGATCAACC